GTGAAGATTAAGGGTCTGAAGGATGAGACCCCCCTATGGCCCCCTTGGCTGGAGGCCCCCTTTGCGTGTTGCTGACTTTTCCTCTTCTGTTGTCGCCCTCGGCTGGGTGATCCTTGTGTGCAAACCTCTTCCCCGCTAGGGGTTGAGGTGGATCAACTGGCCTCTTCTGACTAGACTCTCAGTGCCGGTCTCCCTCGACTGGCCTCTTTCCTCGATCAGCTCCGGCACTAGCAGGCACTGGCAGCCGAGGGGTTCTATCAACTGGCACCACGTCCCTCGGTGTCTGTCTCTGTGACGGGCTGGCACTTGGCATCCTCTTCAAGGACTTAGCCTTCTCTAGCAACATTTGCTTGGCGTTAAGAGGCATCTCTGCAAAGAAACAAAGTAAACATATCAGTACTCATATGCAAGAGAAGGAAAGTTGATGTGTTAAAGCCGACTACAGAAGTTCTCCTACCAAGGCAGGCGAGGCTGAGACCAGTCAACACCAAGGGTAACTCCTCCTCTACTAGGGGCTTGGCCTAGATTGTCCCTGACACTCGAATGTGGGTAATCACATCAGCTTCATTGTCCCAAAGATAAGGGGCTACCTTCTCGACAGTCAGATTCTACTCCCCCCAACCTGACCTAAACGACCAATCCTCAGGACAAGAAACAAAGAAGAATTTCCTCTTCCAGTTGTGCAGGATGTAGGGTTGTATACAGCTCGGCCGCAACAAGCCTAGAAATAATATATGCTTGCCTCTTGAGGGTGTGGCCTCGACACGAACATGCCTCGAAAGATCTTTTTGGTTAGCTCAACATCTCAAAGTCAAGCCATCACCAACACCACTATTATTGTCTTGAGGGTGTTGGGGGCTAGCTGGCTTATTGTGATATCGTACCACCTCAGCAGCTCGGGGATGAGGGGAGGAAGAGGAAACCTAAGGCTAAACTCTAAGTAATGTTGGAAGACATAGATTTCACCCTCCTCCAATGCCCATGGCCGATCACTAGTGTCTGGGACCCTAAGCCTATATTTCCAAGGGATATAGTACTTTTTGGCAAGGGCCTTCACTTGCTCAAGGTCGATGACACTATCTAGCTCAGAATGGGGAAGACGCCCCAATGCCACCCCTCGAACCGTGTACTCGGCCATTGTCCTCGAACTGGGCTCAGGAACTTCCTCGCCCTTGACTACCTTGGGGGACCCCAGGGACCCCTCGTCTTCTCTTGGCCCCATGGACCCAACACTTTCATAGGGAGAATCATCGCCCCTTCGGCTGCACTAAGCGCCTACAGGAGCAGCCCTTTCCCTCAGCACCTCGACCTCAGGACTCGAAGCAGGGACCTTGGGCTCACCAGAATGGCCTTCGCTACTGCTGGCCAACGCCGGGGTGGGGAAGGAGCTCGCTCGAGAGGGGTCAAGGAGGTCATAGTACTCAAGGCCAGAATCTGAATAAGACATCACCATAGGTTGAAGTTCTTTACCTAACGAAGGAAGTCTGAAAAGCTAAGGGAAAGAGAAGAAGAAAGTCGAGGTCTCTGAAGTCTAAAGCTCTTGGAAGCAAATGGTAAAGGCAGTCTTGACTAAGTCCCCCATTTAAAGGAAAATTGACGGCTCAGATCGCCTCCAATCCAGTGGCCACGGAGTGGCTGCCTCTATGGCCCAATCCAGTGACCGCCTCTACGGCCCAATTCATCGGCTGACACGTGTCACTCATTTCGGGAAGATGAAACAATGCCAAGTGAGTCGACCGGTCCACTCACTGAGTCAAGCGATTCGCCCAACGATCCTGAACCAAAAATAGCATGATCCAGCAAACTTGGCGCTCATCTCGCGTACAGACATGGCGCGACGATCCATCCCACGTACGGTTACAACCCGAAGCCCGTCTCGGGCATGGTCCTGACCCGTTAACATGGGGACCCATACCACACACGGTCTACACCCAATGCCAAGACCCGTCTCCTATACGATCCTCAACCTGTCAACAACAACACTCGTCTTGCGCACAACCACAACAGACCCATTTGTCACCCGTATCTCACACGGCGACCACCAGCCGAAGCCGACACCTTGCACAGATTCTTCATGATACTAGTAAAGTGCATAACTGGGGGCACATATGTCTCATACCCATACATAGTACAGTACTGAACTCCCTGAAGTTGAGGCCAACGCCTCTGCACGACTGGTCCTCCACTACACTCTCAAAGGCAGAATCAAAGCCTAAGTCGACGCCACCGTTATCAAAGACAAAGTACCTCCTTAACAAGCCGAACTGAGGTTGAGGTCCTTGTCAAAGAAATCCACTCAGCACCTCTTAGCAAGGATAACACACTCTCTTCGGCCAAAGCTGAGGTCCTCAGTTGAGACCTCCACCATGGCGTCGAGAGTGGGGGGAAAATGATGTAGGCGCTTATGGTAAACCAATGGCACGTCCATACGTGGCAGAGGGTGGCGTACAGTGCGGACCCAATAGGGACATCACACGAAGCAGAAACCGACATGCAATGTGGGCCTAATGGCATGACCACTCGCTGCGACCTTGGATGGCCACGCACACAAGGTCAGACTACATCCTGGTCGTTTG